AAATATGCTACTCGCAGGTAGGTTGTGCCCACTCCCTCAATCATGCAAGGCTCTTCGGCTCTTCGACGTTTTCATCAAATACTTTTACGGCACTCGTGTAAGGCAATGCATCATTCAGCTGATTCCTCATCACGAAATCCCACACCATATAATTAGTCACAGCAAGATATGGATGACTGATACATTGTCATTATTGACAGAATGAATTTTGCATCAGTTTTTTGAGAGCATCCGAAGTTTGCACATATCGAATGGATTAGAACCAATCAAGATTTCCGGCCACATCCTTAGGTGATCCGCTACTTTCTGATGAAATTGATCAAAATAATAAAAGGCATTAAAGAAAGATAAGAATGACACCACTTCAGACTGATTATCAACGTCGTGCCCAGGTGCGTATGACGATTACGGTAACAATCTCGAGTTGTTTAACACTCTTCTTGGATGCTGTTCCACGAGCCATTGGAATCTATGGTGAGTTTAGAAGAGAACTGCAATAAATCGTATCACTGAGCATTGAAAGTGTATTCCTCTATCAGCGTTCTCAGGAATTCCTCATCGAATAAAGATTTTCAATCGGACTGTTTGGAATTGTCAGTCACTGAAAATGCTATAACGTGTCTGATGTCTCTAAGAATTTCTGTTCGCTCGCATAATTGATCTATAAGAAATCGATCAATTCTAAACCATCCGATGAAGTTCAGCGAGTAACTGATGCTAGTTCAGTGGAATAACTCCAACTTCTAGTGGCTTTTCAGAAGTCAGCATGATTTTTCAGGAACAGAAAAGAAAATGACTGAAAGTTCAGAGCAATGTGAGAGTGCGATGTCGATTCTGTTTCACTTGACGAAACTGAATGCAATGTTCAACTTGATCATCTATTATTGTCGTAATAAAGCGATCAGACAATCGATTCAAAATCTGCTGAGGATCCGAAAAGTTCAGGTGACATCCGTTCGTCAAGCGAATGTTGTGGCTGATTTACGACCGTCAAATCAAATGAATCGCACTGGTGCTGCACACTCGGGCAGAGGACTTCATTTCTTCTCACTGAATATCTTAAAGAATAGAATCTGAACAATCGAATTGCTCTTGAGTTGTCTTAATATTCCATAATTTCAAGATGCATGAGGAGTATGAATCGTTAGACACATGAGCTGTTATATTTCCGATACATCTTATCTATTTGCATCGGAAATTATTCTCTGCGCTCGATTCATCCTCAGAAACGAGATCATGTTGTCAGACCCTGACCCTAATGGAGACTGAAACTCACCATTGTACTCATTCTATCATTTGCAGCGAATGTTCGGAAAATTTTCCCCGAGTTTGAAAACCTCGACGTACTCTTGAAAAAAAGGTGGCATGTTGATAGTGTTTGCATATGACGTAAGTATTAACTGATATACAATGGTCAATTTGTTCATTGTGCAGCTGAATGATTTATGTATTGTCTTAGTTCATTGTACATGCTTAATTAATCTCGTGCTCTATTGTTACAGCCTCAAATGCTCGCAAAAAAATGAACATGAATGACCACATGAGGAATTTTAACAACGCATGTGAGTGTGGGTGAATGCACACTCGATGAGCTTGAACACTCGTGTGCATATGAAGTCANTCCACTCTAATTAGAAATAATTGCTGCTCTAAAGCTCCACTCTAATTAGAAATAATTGCTCTAAAGTACCACTCTAATCAGAAATAAACCTCGATACACGAATCGATGATAATTAACTACAAGCCAAAACATAGCCTGGCTCAGGTTCGATAGCACTAACGTACTGCTAATGTCACAGGAATAATTCTGTTACATCGAAGGTGTTCGTTAACGAATTTATAATTTATTTTGTTGTTTGTTTACAACTCAATAAATTTATGTAATAGTTTTTTGTTTGTTTACTTAATAAACGAATTTATTTTTACTTAAATTTGTGTAATTTGTGTTAGTTTGTTATTGTGTGATGGAATTTATCAGGAATTCAGGCGCATGTTTTAATCCAGCATAATATTCATTAAGTAATTCACTAAGATCAACACAATATTAAGTAATATCACGATGAAATGAAGTGACCCTGATATGGTACAAAACAATAAAAATACTGTCAGATAATTTGAAATTAGATAACTATCCACTCATTCTTACAATGGTAAAACGTTTCCAATCCAACTCTTCAAACAATCTCACAATCATATTCGAGCGGAATGGACTCTGTGAAGATATTGCATCCAAATGAACAATTGTTCATGAAACAGACATATCATCAGAGTAGATTTGCAATTTATATCCAGATATAAGACATCATATCACATCAGAGGACATCTCAAGGAAATCAAATCNTAAACAAATAAATTACTATCATACTATTAAGGTGATACTAACAATATCACGTTGATACTCACAGTATTATAACAGCATAAACTGATACTGTAAACTACGATCAACAAGTTATGAAGATGATGTTTGTTCATAAATTCATGTATGTACACAAGTCTACAGCTAGAATCACAATTTGTCTGCAATTAATAAACGATAATCAAACGATCAGCACATGTATATATGCTCGAATGATTATAAATAGATGAAAAATGAACAAATGAGTGAAATGAAGCAATAAATTAACTACGACAAATAATAAATCACGTCAACTAAACGTCAAATCATTGAAGACATCAAAATCACGATGAGATCAGATCGTTGCACGAAGTCATTCTATAAGACCAATTGTGCCGGGGTGTTTCTGGCCAGTTGAACAATGTGTTCTGCGGCGTTACCCCTCAGTGTCCACGCAAGTGATCGAAGGGAAATACCTCGTTCACACACTGCACGGGGTATGTTCACCGGAATTACTGTCTTGCGTGTGTTCACCTGAAAATTTTTATGACTTCTGTTACTATTGAATGATCTTGATTCAATCCAGCAGATCTGCTCCTGATCATAAGTAATTCTAAATGAATTTTAATCGAAAACATCGAATACTTCCAGATGAAAGACAATCTCAAATGTCAACGATCCTAAATCACGAATCAGCTTGTTCTTATATCGTAAACTGTTTCGAATCTCAACTGATCCTGTTTGTTTGCACATAATAAAAGCAAAGAGGAGATACACTGATGAGGATACCTCAAGCATATGAATGACCATTTTGTCCATCATAGTAGAATGTCCCTGTTTCCAGTTCTCCGGATCATTTCCAAACACCGGTACGTAAACATACCTGCAACAGGTTACGGTTGCGCCATTTCTGTTCACTTGTTCTAGTTCAAGTTTTAAACAAAAGCTTAAGTGGAGAGCTTGAAACTCGGAAGGTTCTTGTGGCAAATTCTCATGGTATTATTCTTTCAAGAAATTCTGAATTTCTGGAAAATTTCACTAAATTTCTAGTCAGCGAATTCCTTTCACACTAATTGAAGGGGATGTCCTTCTCAATGTGAATTTTCAGAGAAGTTCTATTCGGATTGTGCAATTTTCTTGATTGTTTGAATGGATAAGATGAAAATCGCTTAGTGGTATTATAAAGTATGAGTTGTTCAGATGCTAATACTTGTCTGTCGAAAGGATTGCCGTATACAGTCCACAATTCCCTTTTTGATCCTGACCCAACTGCGCCGGTATATCCACGAGCATCACCTCATCACGAAACTTTTTGTACAATTCAGCGTCCAAATTCGCTCGCGCTTCCTTGTCCATCATTGGAATCACAAGAATCTGCAAATTTTTCATTGGCGAAAATTACAAATCACAAATTTCACGATAAGTCATCACGAATGTCTTAAAACTCATCGAATTCATTGGCAAAAGTTGCATTCGAGAGCAATTGTGTAAACAAGAATTGATAAAGTGGTTGGCTACCTGTTCGTCAACAAAGGCCATAACGTCGTCCAGTCGTAAATTGGTTTTATTGAGTGGATTCGCAACCACCGTTACCTAAATCAGAATAGATTTATTTCAAATTCCATTCGTGTGATTGACTGAAATCCTTTTTTTCGCATAAAACTGTCGACTTTCAAAAGAGATTGTTGCGAATAATGGATGGTTGGATATTACATTGAATACCTTTCTGAAGGCATTGAATAGCTTGATCATGATGGCCCATTCAGGCAAGCGACCGTGGTTATCGTCGAGTACCCGCTGAAAGCAACTCGAGGATACATTTAGCTTCAGGAAGAGAAATTCATTTTAGTGGAATTTTCTGCGAAGAATAATATGAATTCTCGGAATAGCCTCTCTCCTTACAAACTTTAAAATTTAATCGAACAGTAGCAATTTGGATAGTGTGAAAAGTTTTAGGGCTAGAGTGACATTATTTAGTAGTTGTTAGATGCGATTTAGCGAACCTGATCAACGATAGCCTTGTTCATGCCATTATCGACAATATGTTCAGCAGAAAGGATCAACTCTGGTTCACGTTTATCCAGGTGAAGTTTTGACTCAACCACAAAGCGTTTCATGCTTTCGTCTATTTGACGTGCTGCTACTTCGGCAAGCGATGAGGGCCTCAAATCAATTTTTTTGCTCATTAACATTGCGACTGTTTCGCTTGATTATCGATNAAACTTTTGATAAGAACCAGCTGTCAGTATGATTTGATCTCCTAATCAAGCAATTTGTTTCCATCGATACTCGTCAGATAATCATGCAGATGAATTTCAGAAGCCTAGATATAACCTCACTCAAACGTGACGATCTTCGTAAAGTTATTCCTTGATGAATCAAGCCACTCACTCACTCACTCACTCACTCATAAGAGCCATCCATCAATGGCCTATAGAACAAATCTGACAAAACCTGTATGAGAATTTGACCAGTTGCCGTAAGCCGAACGGTGCAAAGTCACGAATGTTTATGTCGTAGATTGATGCTTGAATGAGGGCGTCCAGGGGGAGTCGTGATTTAGTCGAGCGACTTCGACCATCCAAATATGGCATTGTATGCTTATCGGCCAGGACAACAACATTGTCGTGCTCTGAAATCTTTGCGTTTTCCGATCGAATTTCATTTGCAAAAGAGCACAGATTTGAGTTGATTCGAAAAATTTCATACAATGATATTTGAGGATTGCAAAGCGCGATAAGCGTTTTGCAATCCTCAAATCTGAAATGTTCTGAAATGTGATCCATAATTCTGCACTTTAAAAATCGGAATGGTGCGGTCTTATTGGTCTTATTTATTTCTAAGTGTGTGTATGTGTGTGTGTGCTTAGGACAGTTTCACTTTTATGACCGGTTCATTTTGAATTGAGAAATAGAGAAGAAAATCAGAACGATTCCATAAAATCAGGACAAACGCTTTTTTTGCGATGTTAAGTGGATAGTGTTGAAAGACGCAAATAGAAAACGATACAAATGCCCAGAGGAAAATTTATTCGAGCGATATTTCAGCAACTCGAATTTCTCCTTTTTTCATCACTTTCTAGAAATCACGAAAAAATTCCCACAACAACTGAAATATCCGGTTGCTGGAATATGCCTCCACCATTGAAAAAATTCCAAAAATTTTGGAACTCTTTATAATTTGGGGCGATAATGACGCGAACGCTTTATAGAGCTCCAAGAGATCACGTAACAAGTTTGACCTTACCGTGGATGATTCGTGCAAACTCGATCTGGAATGAGATCAGCGTGTCGAAATCATCCTTATAGTTGTCATCCCTGCAATGAATTACATCTTTTTCGGCTAGTTCGAGAAAATATTGGAATAGACTTACAAAGATAATAGTATCCTCCACTCCAGTTGATCTTGTAAAAGCTCAAAATTCTTGTGATGCTCTAGTCTATGCACATGATCATTTGATTTTAGCTCATTCATGCTCATATTTGCAGCTTATATTTGATTCTTAATCACATTTTCTCACTTCACTAGCGTATTTATTGTGTAAGATGAATGAATGAACTCGTTCTATATCACAGTGACTGTAATTTGAAATTTGAGCAATGTCAGTGACAATGTCAAGTTGAAGGTGTTGTGCCCTATTGATCACATGCATTTCTTTCTTTCCATTTCATGTGTTTAATTGGAGCGAAACAAACTAACGAACACATGAATGTTCAAAGGAATAAAATTGATGTAGATGAATGAGCCATGTAAAGAGTGACTGATGTTGTTTTAAGAACACAATGTGAAAGGATTAAGTGATAACACAAAAAATGATTGAAAGACAGAAAACAAGATAGATAGCTTGATATGTGTGAATATCGACGACGTCATATGGATTGTCGAGGGAAGAACAATAACACTCAAGAGAGATCTGGTTTCATAGAGGCGGAAGGGAGCCTATGGATACATTCAGTAGCGGTCAACGTTGATTTTCGACTTGTTTTGGGAAATGATTAGTGGATTTCTGTTCGGTGCATACGTATGGATGTTTATGGATATGAACGAGTGTAGTGTTCATTTTAAGGATACTTTCTTTTATCATTCATCATTTGATCAGATCCGGGTTCGTCGTGTCAAATTCATTTCAATAACCGCTTTCCAGTTTTCAACGAATTTCACCCGGATCAAACTGGATACATGGACAGATGGATGGATGGATCAAAGATCCAGCGGATTTTGTTCGCTGAGTGTTCTGTTCTCGCACTTTTTGGTGTCTACAATGAGTGTTGGCGGTTTGACTTAAACTGATCAAAACGCGGAGGCGATATGATGATATGCAAAGCTAGTCGAATGTTATGAAATAAACGATAAGAATGGCGTTGAGGTGTTTAGCAATCTGATGAAATTTCGCAAGACAACGTTATGCGCTTATGAAACTCTCTCTATTCACAGTCACTTTTGTTGAGTGCAGTCAAAGCTGCAGTAAGTGATTGAATTCAGGCTTTATTATAATAGACATAAAAGAGGAATACAATAACCTATTATGGTTTATGTATGATAGCTTCCAAATCCATGAAAAATATCATCCTTATCCTAATAAACAGTGGTTGTGCGAACAGAAGTTGGAATGCTCGGATAAACACAGAAATATCCGCTTATTATTAGTTCATATAGCCATTAAAGGAATTTTCCGGATGAACTCAACGACTCAATGACAACAGGCAGGAATTGTGTGACTAGTAAGGTAATCGATACTATGATCTGTAAATCTATTAAAGAGATTTCGATCGAAACTGTCTATCAATTTTGATCGATCAGATAGATTGGAAACATTGAATGTCGCTTCAAAACTCAAATAACTTAATCGTAATGAGACAAAATCAAACGCAGAATCAGTTACAATAAACTGCGATTCTACATGGATCTGGTGAAAGTGAAACTGATGAACGCAACCATAATTACACTCTTTTACTAAATGAGATCCAGAATTATATGGCAATACTCAACGAATAAATTACCTATATACATGACATATCCATATCAATTGTCAATTAAAGTATTCATTACTAGAAAAAAATGAATAAGTAAGATAATTACCAAACAGACGGTGCAGATAGGACGATAAGGGTTCGATTTGGATGAAGCTGGTTGAAGAATTCGGCAAAAGTAGATCTGAGAAGAGCGAGTAAAAGGATTGACAACAACCACGAACTTGGCAAGGAAGAGGAGAAGGACATTTCACAGCTCGACGGGATTGAGAAGCAACAACAGTAAGAATGTCAATAACGCATTCAACATGCACACTATTTATATGCTGATGGCAGGAGCACTGAAATCCAGGAAGAGAGGGGGTTGGATGCGGGCGGGCGGGTATTATTATTGTCATTATTATTACTGTTATTTATATTATTATTGTTGTTGTTGCTGAGTGGTGCAAAAGAGAAATGCGCTGGTGTGGAAGACCAGAATGAGAATGCCCTAAGGCGAGCATCATATCCATCCATACATCCATTTATCTCTTCTCTCTCTTTGCCTTTACCCACAGAGGTCAACCGAAAACAAATCCAGGATTTTTTTCGGATTTGAAAACGTTCGGATAAGTCCGGTTATTTGACATTGATTTCGATGAATTATCGCCGCACTGCACACATGAATTATTCAAGGACAATCAAGTTTTCGACACCAACCAATCTCATTAACGTTATCACTCACTATCATTGCCACTTGCATTGCAATATCGCTGCTGTTTACAACATACGAACACGATCAACCACATATGTACATGAAATAATCGAACGAAAACATTCCATTCGTTCAATCCAGATTATCTTATAGAAATAAAACGAGTACCTTGTTCAAGCTACTTGCATAGTTAGCCTTGCTCACTATCACAATCCTTCATAAGCATCATCAGCTCCATCAGATTCTCCAGTTCAGATGTATTGTTGACTTTTGAAACGTTGAGTTTCACAGATACGGCTAAGTTGACGACCGTATGTCATAGAGATGAGTGATCTGATCATGGCGCCTAACTCTTTATAATTGATCAATCGTATATCACCGTATTCCTTTTCGGTTATCCTCAAATGTTCATAAAACTCATGAATTTATCAAAACACTTGCAATGAAGCCTTATAAAGCAGCACTCATGAACACCTATAAAGCACTGAAAAGAAAATGCTTTATTCTCTCATAAGCTCTCGTCTGATTTTCTGAAGTTATTTCATGTAAACAAGCGATCTCATTGAATCTAAAAACTGCACGCACTTAATCTCGTCATCGAACACAACACTTTGCACAAACTGCAATCAGCGTTCGAATGCCGAAAAGTCTTTCATCTGAAAATTGTTGCCGAATCCTGAAAGTGAAACCAAAATTTGCAAAATTTTTTCACGTATCCAATTATTCATCACCACGCATCACACACATACATACACATGCCTTCTGAATGATTGATGAATTTCCTTAAATATTTCAACGTCATCCATTCAAAACCACCACCACCAACACAGTGCAAATAATTTGTCAACGGGTTTTCGCTCGTTTTGACCCAATTTGAGGTAGTTCATAATTGATAATTTCAATAAATCACTTCGATTCACTTCGACGTTTCAATATAAAATCCCAAATGATCCGATACCGTCAGTCATACGTTAGTACATGAACTTATACTCATAAGTTTTCTACAATCATGTTACTATTAAATAATTTTGCACTCAGAACAATTTTCAGTGCGTAGATCAGTTCGTTCTTGGCTATATGATCATTGAAGAAATGTCATCCAAAATACTGCAAGCTTCTGGTAATGGTATCAATATAAGCAGGAACATGTATTTGTCAACACACTGTAAATTTGTCTTGTTTTCGGATCTGTTCACGAATAGCCAGCACCGAAGTTTTATCCGTGATGTATCCGTAATCTAATATCCGCTCGAATGTCAAGTGCATGCACACTTCATGAAGGATTAATGCAGTGAAATGAACCGAAGAATTAAACTCATTACAAAAACAAATCAAGTCGAATTAAAATTATCTACTCCGTTAATCACACTTCATCCACAGATTATATCTTGTTCATATCCCTTCTCTTCCATACAATTCGATATNTATGAGGAGAACATTGATCACTCCATTAAACACCGGTCGAAAACAAGAAATTTACCCGGCGCAAGGTCATCGCATTCAATCAATTCATCTTTCCACTTTCCCTTCAATTCTCCCTCTCTCCATCGCACTAAAAATCTCTCTGTTCAAATCCTAAACTCATGAAATCTTAAAAACAAATCGCCGCCGCGCAGAACTTTTCACAAATTTCCTGTTTTGTTCTGTTTCACTTTTGAGTCGTTTCGTTTCGGGTGGCGTTTCTTTTTCACCGAATTGTTTTCCACTTTACATTATTATTCATTTATTGCATCAAGGGCATACTCAGCATTGTGATCATTTCATATCACTACATATCAAATTCATATGAGAATATAACTCTCTACGTTGGTATCCTAGCAAAACCGCACGCTGAAATCAACAATCATTATCTCCTTGAATTCATGTTATCAGGTGCTTATTTCTCACTGAACAGAATCATACCGAAGTGAGCGCAAGGAAACTTACGAGCGGAAGCATCGATTGAGTTCGTGAGTTAACACAACTCCAATATCTCGATAAGCACTAACAGAGATCCCAAAATTCTCAAGAAACCGATATGTTACTGGGAAAACCTGATTGTACCGTCAGGGTCCA